ATTACTGTTGTTGGGAGAACATTAGCACACCTGGTGGGCTACGAGGTTACAGGTCAAGAGCGTTGGGTCAGATTACTTTGAAATGTAGTCAGTTACTTTTATTAATAACGTAATCCATTGGATTACAGAAAAAAGTATTCTGAATACCTTTTGCGTCACTTTTAACCTTGCAACACAGCTGCAGCCAGACTACATTGTACAGGAGCAATCAGCCTCCTCTGAGGAAGCACTGGCAGCTCCAGAGGTGGGCACTTAGAGGTTAGAGGAGAAGCTGCGAGAACCTGTTATCAGAAGTGGAGAGACATTTCTTTATTAAATAAAGGGCAAAGAACAGCACTGAAAGCTTTTCTCTATAGAAAAGTTGTTTTCTCTCTCCTCCCCCGACTGGTTTCGGTAAGAGTCGGACGACGTTGTAAGGTTTGTTGATCCGACTGGTTGAAGTTTGCCCGTGATGGATGACCTTCAGAGCATTTTTGAAAGTCCGTGCCCTTTTCCAAACAGTTTCCAGTGACGACCTCCCACATCTCAGTTACTTTCAGATCACTTTAAATTCAAACGTTGAAAATGTCGCACCTTACTAAACAAATGGACACAAATATTCTTTTTTTTCTCAAAACATTTCAATTTGCATTCACTGAATGTCCTCTGTGATTTATCCATGTTTCCGTGTTGAACACTATTGTTGTCGTTGAGTGTAATGACCATTCAGAGGCGAGGTGTTCTTGACTACTTGACGGCTGTGTGGGCATGTGTGCAGCAGCTCTGATCTCAAACACATTGCACCATCGAACACAAGAGATTTACCCCTTTCTCCTGTTTAAGATCTACAGAAGCTTAAACCAGTTGTAGCTCATGTATTTTTGTTTCTGAGCTCCATGTCAGCTCATGTGCAGAGATCCCCCTACCTTTTCTTCTTTGTGTTACATTATATTTAGTTGCTATGGTTATGGCTTCAGAGAAGCTGCAAATTAGGCTGCATCTATCAAGAGTAAAATTACTTTTATTATCCAGTTTATCATCATCCCTAGTAGCTGATGAAGCTGTTTCCTTCACATTTGTATTAAACATTTATTCCTGCTCAAGTTTTAAAGAACTGCTGTAATCAGTCTCATATTTGACACCAACGAAATGAAATCGGCTCGATAGAAAGCTGGATGCTTTCACGCTTCTAGTATTGTGTTGAGTTCTCTTTCTTACACCTTGAGTTTGCTTTGTTACACAATGATTTGTGCGCGTGTAATACTTAGACTTCACACCTCCACTCTGACAGGGAGAGACAGGCTCAGGCTGGTCCAATATGTTCTGTAATGTAAGAAAACACCGGCCTTTCACATGCGAGCATCATGGGTAATATGATCTCTGTACATTTGTAAGCTCTGTTGAATAAATGGCAAAAAGACTTGGACTTTAAACAGCTCAAGTTTGGTTTGGCAATTATGTATTATGGAAAGTAGACTGGGTTGTCCATACAACGGCCGTTTGTGTGAGATTAAAGGAGACTTGGATTGGGATGCTGGAATTATTGAGTTATGAATCATGTGAGTTTTTCATACGTTGTGTAGAACTGGCTTCAAACTTCTCATTGTCTCTCCCTCTAACTGGTCTTGGAGCCACTTATATCGTGTTTTTTGGTTATTTATAGCTACCTTTTGATGGCAAACAAGAATATTTAATTGTCTGCTGCAGGGGAAATACCAGTTTTTTATCAAAACAGTTGTTGAAACCTATTGCTAACAAACAGTTGAGCATATTCACTGCTGTGCAAACAGAGGTGTCTGCATTTTGCTGTTTGTTTTGCACAGAGCTATGTTGACTGCAGTTGTTGAAGGAGGAGTGTCGGATGTTCAATTCCCCTCTTTCAAGATAAAGAAAATTCATCTGTCGGTAAGAGATAATACAAGACAAACAATTTTGATAAGGATCCCTTCAGTTCAGGGCTCAAAGAATCAATCAAATAACCCACGTGTGTCCCGATTGAAGTATTTTACAGCTGAAAAATAAACATTTCTGTGCTTTCTGGTGGCCACTATGTAACTATGTCCTGACAACAAGGAGTTTCCATCCACCTGTTTATCTTGCGCATTTAAAAAAGCATTCTCATGCTGCATCCAGCTCGTATGTATTCAGACCGCATCTAATCAAGAAGAGTAATTTACCACATGCAGTTTTAAATCCTGGTCGGCCGATCCAAGTAATAACACCGTAGGGAATGTTTTATGGTTGTCCAAGGAAATTAGATCCTCACCTAGCACTTTCCCTCGGCAGGCTCTTGTTTCAGCGGCTGAGCTTCACCCTGGGTTCATGGTCAGAGATCAGATGGTGCACTTCTGAAAAGCTCCTGCCTCAAAGCCAAAGCCCATCCAATGGCATTATGTCCTCACAAAGACTTTCACAGATGCAGAATTATTTGGTGGTATTCAGCAACACACTTGGAGAACTATACTTGTCTTGTCGTTAGAAGCAGATGAATAACGCTAAACTACTCCACGCTTATTATACCTCTTCAATGACAGCAGCACGGGTCCGGACTTGACGGGTTGAAGTGTTTCAGAGCTTTCCGACTCGTACATTTGTGTTGTGACGGATCATTTGAGGCACGGCTCTCATGGTAAGTTTTGCCAGAATACGCGATAAGCTCTCAGTCCGCGCACGCATCTGGACTCACAAGGTCACCGTGAGACTATTTTGGAGTTCACCGCCAGCGCTCAGGGAAGCCCCCTGCGGGTAACCCCTGTACGTGGCCTCGCTGCGCGTCGTGGACGAGCCCGGAACAATTTGGACGAGTGTGGCCGTGTTGCTTTTTCCGTGGTCGGCGGTGTGCGTCACAGTGGTCAGCAAAGGAATGAGCGAATGCTTGTTATTTTTCTTCACATTACAAAGGCTCTGACTCGGAGCTTTTGCAACCCACGCACAAGTCAGAATAGCACATATGTAATCTCGTGCTTTTTGATGTGTGTGTCTTTCTGGTTCAGCAGAGGGGCGAACTGCTGTATACATCGCGCTGATTCGTTTTCCCCTGCATCGTGTGTGATGAGCAGCGTTTTGATGCACGCTGAGCTTTTGTTGTCACATCCCCTTATGTTTGGGCACGTCGAAGAATGTGCTGTTTTCTTTTGTACCTCCTTGTCTTATTTCCACACAGAGCTTATCAGAGCCCTACTGCAAATGCCTCCACGTCCCACAGCACGGCTCCACCGCTCTGATCTCTTCCTTATCCTCGTTTCTAGCTCCAAACTGATGCTTGGCGCCCGCGACGTTCAGCAGATGACAGCGTGTTCAACTTTGCAGAGGTGACCCCATTAGCAGGCTGCTGTGCCTGTGTTCACACTGACTCTGTCTTGTGAGATGTTGCTGCATGTGAACACATCAGTTAATGTGAGCTGTTGGTTTATGCTGGGGAATTGGGGATAGATCTTTTTCGCTCCAGTGTAAAGTTTCTCCTCTTCTTTTAGGTGTGGAGACATTAGTCGCTCTTGTTTGCACGCCTGCTGGTAATAGATCTATCCTGTGGGCGTAGCAGAAACCGAGAGAAGGCATGAAGACACAGGGACGGGGAGGGAGGTGAACAGAGAGGGAAAGAGGAGGAATTTACAGCAAAGAGAGAGAGAGAGAGA